TCATTAATAAAATCGTGACTTTACGTCATGTTAATAGTAAAATCTGTGAATTTTATTAATGACACAGAGGCACTGGCGTACATACCAGGGTCGCAGGGGTCGCGACTGCGACCGGGCCCGGCCCACCAGGGGGCCCGGCCGCCCCTGCGACCCGGTATGTAGCCACAGGGCCAGCCTCTTCCCCTGGGGGGCCCAGGAGCCGACCACCCCAGGGCCCCCTGAGGCTGGCCCTGCTAACCCCGGGTGGCCGGTCGGGCAGGCGGGCGCGCGAGGGAGCACTCAGTGCTTCCTCTTCAGCTCCCTCGCGCACCGCAATGATACCGGAGCCGGAAGATGACGTCATCTTCCGGCGCCGGCATCCCTACGCGGCGCGCGAGGGAGCTGAAGAGGAAGCACTGAGTGCTCCCTCGCGCGCCCGCCTGCCTGCCCGCCCAGGAGCCCCACTGGACCCCAGGGAATAATCCCCCCAGCACTCCAAGACGTAAGTAGGCTGGGGGGATTATATTAAAAAAAAAAAATCATGTGTGAGTGTTAGTGTGTGTGTGAGTGTTAGAGTGAGTGTTAGTGTGTGTGAGTGTTAGAGTGAGTGTGAGTGTTAGAGTGAGTGTGAGTGTGTGTGAGTGTTAGAGTGAGTGTTAGAGTGAGTGTGAGTGTTAGTGTGTGTGAGTGTTAGTGTGTGTGAGTGTTAGAGTTAGTGTGTGTGAGTGTTAGTGTGAGAGTTAGTGTGTGTGAGTGTTAGTGTGTGTGAGTGTTAGTGTGAGTGTTAGAGTTAGTGTGTGTGAGTGTTAGTGTGAGAGTTAGTGTGTGTGAGTGTTAGTGTGAGAGTTAGTGTGTGTGAGTGTTAGTGTGTGTGAGTGTTAGTGTGTGTGAGTGTTAGTGTGTGTGAGTAAGTAGTGTGAGGTAGTGTTAGTGTGTGAGCAGTGTGTGTGAGTGTTAGGAGTGTGTGTGAGTAAGTAGTGTGGAGAAGTTAGTGTGTGGGAGGTTAGTGTGAGTAGTGTGTGTGAGTGTTAGGTGAGTGTTAGATGAGTGTTAGTGTGTCTGCTAGTGAGTGTTAGTGAGTGTTAGTGTGTGTGTCTGCTAGTGAGTGTTAGAGTGAGTGTGTGTCTGCTAGTGAGTGTCAGTGAGTGTGTTACTGTGTGTGTCTTACTGAGTGTGTGTGTGTTAGTGAGTCTGTTTGATGTCTGTTAGTGAGTGTGTGTTTGCCAATGAGAGTGTATGTTTTGTAAGTGAGTGTGTATGTATGTCTGTCGCTGACTGTATCTCTGTCAGTAAATGTGTGTGTCTGTTAGCTAGTGTGTATGCGTCTGTAGGTGAGAGTGTGTGTGTCTTCAGCACTTACCTTTCTCCAGCTCCGGACTCCCTTGGCGCTGAGGATCCTCAGCCTCTCAGCTCCGAATGCGACCGCGCACGCATTCAAACCGCCCATAGGAAAGCATTACTCAATGCTTTCCTATGGACGTTCAGTGTGTTCTTCTAGCTGCTGTCCGCGAGACAGCCACTAGAGGCAGGATTAACCCTCAGTGAAACATAGCAGTTTCTCTGAAACTGCTATGTTTTCAGCTGCAGGGTTAAAACTAGAGGGACCTGACACCCAGACAACTTCATTGAGCTGATGTGATCTGGGTGTCTGTAGTGGTCCTTTAAAGGACCACTATAGTGCCAGGAAAACATACTCGTTTTCCTGGCACTATAGTGCCCTGAGGGTGCCCCCACCCTCAGGGACCCCTCCCGCCAGCTCTGGAAAGGGTAAACTTACCTTTTTCCACCGCTGGGCGGAGAGCTCTCCTCCTCCGATCCTCCTCCTGTCGGCTGTATGCGCACGCGCGGCAAGAGCTGTGCACGCATTCAGCCGGTCACATAGGAAAGCATTCATAATGCTTTCCTATGGACGCTGGCGTGCTCTCACTGTGAAAATCACAGTGAGAAGCACGCAAGCGCCTCTAGTGGCTGTCAATGGGACAGCCACTAGAGGAAATAGGGGAAGGCTTAACCCATTCATAAACACAGCAGTTTCTCTGAAACTGCTATGTTTATGAAAAAATGGGTTAACCCTAGCTCGACCTGGCACCCAGACCACTTCATTAAGCTGAAATGGTCTGGGTGCCTAGAGTGGTCCTTTAAGTGTGTGTGCATCTGCATGCACTGGCGTACATAACGCGGTCGCAGGGGTCGCAGCCCTGTAACCCCTGCGACCAGGTGCCCACCGCCATGTGTTGCGGCCCGGCCTGCGCGGGGGGGGGGGGCCACGGATCAATTTTCGCACCGGGGCCCCATGGGTCATGTGTACGCCACTGCACAGAGGCTCATATTATGCAAGTTCAAAGCTGAGCTATCACCCTAGAGGAAATATCCTCAATCAGACAGAAATAGAAATAAAGAAATGTAGAGTCATTAGATCAGTATGCAGCTTTCATAACGTCCTCCAGTCTGCAGCCCACTACAGAAGCTTTGGAAGCCATGGCACCCCTGACGGAGTGTGCAGAAAACAGGGATGTATCCACTCCGGCCATTGCCATAAAGTCACGTATCCAACAGGCTAGTGAACTGGGAGATGCGGTCTCCGAAATGAAATGAAGAGCTGCTGATGACCATCGGGGCGAATGGAGCGTATTTGTTCCAAATACGTTTTTACACATAAAACTGAGCACAATACAGGTTTCAGATATAAAAAGCAAAAGTTATTTTTTCCTTAGTCCTAGATTCACAAAATGTTAAATCTATGATTAGGAAAAGATTGGTCAGAATGGGTGGTACCAGCTCCACCCAATATGGGCATAAACCCTTTATTTGTAAAAGATAGAAAACACACACAGAATGCTCGGATTGTTCCTCTTTAAAAGGAGGGAGGAAACTACCAAGCAAGCTGGTAAAAGTATAAATTATAGGTACACATTGATATTATGCCTTAGAATCTTAGAATCTAGAGCCCAAAAGACAGGAAAAAATGGGGAGTAGGAACAATTTGCAGAGCAAAGCTAAATATAGTTGATACAGTACGTAAAAAGTATCTCTAGATCCACTGAGAAAAGTAACAACTTTAGTAACCTATTTAAGAGGAAGAGATACAAAAACAACTGTGTGTCAACAGTAAAAATCTCTGATTCCTATAATCTCTAATCTTGGTGCATGAACAGATCCATTGTTCAAAATGCTATAGGTAAAGATCCCCTAAACAGTGCAATCCCTCCAGGTGTCTCGATGAGATAATCGGTAGGGAAATATAACCCCCAAAATTTGCACAGTATGGAATCTAGAGGGATATTAGACCAGATGCTCATATGGAGAGGGAATAGGCAGAGATAGAAAATGTCTAAGAAACGGAGAAAGGCAACAAAATCAGGATATATAGTAAAATCCAAGTCTGATATAGCGAAAGAAACTGTCTCCGTTCTAATGCTATTTCCCTCACTTCTGCTAGTAAACACCTTCGTGGGTGTTCTAAGCTAGGTAGTTAAGCTAAACACTGTTATCCTGTCAGGTAGAATTGAACTCTAAAGAAAAAATGAGAGAGTTGTGATTAACGAAAAATAATAGTAATCATAATCAAAGTGGTGAAAAAAAGGAGGAAGGATTCCCTTAGTGCATCGTGAGGGGTGCACAGTGATGTGCCGAGGTGCAGTGACTGGGAATCCCCTCAGAAATGATCCGACGCGCGTTTCGGAGTGACAAACTCCTTCGTCAGGGATAGGAATTGCCGCCCAAACACTCCCAGCATTTAAATCTCAGGTAGCCAATCATCACGTCGTTATTCATGGCGTAACACTAAGTTCACCTACGCTCTATAGGGGGGTGGAGTTAGTCATTATTGACGTCAGATGATTGACTGGCTGGACATTCCTCGTGTGGAAGTAAACCTTCTGAAGTATTAAGCTTGTCTGAGGCACAAATAGTTTGTTGAATAATCAAATGGTTACAATTTATCCGTGTTTAGTGAGCCATAGGAAAAATATATAATACAATATTTAAAGCTGTAAACTTACAGCTCTGTCTCTACAGATATATAGTTGAAATAACGGACTATTTGTATAAATCTAAAGTTGCCACTAAAATACAGAAGGTGAGGGATGACATTCAAGTTTACTTGAAATATAGATATTCCAGTTAAAGTGGATCTTTCTGCTATAACCAACGTAATTTAAATAGACATATAGTTAAAGTGGTAAACTATTTAAATAAATGTAAAGTTACTATTCAAATTTATTTGAAAAATATATCTTCCATTCAAAGAGCTCCCTTGTATTTTGTAAATGGAATATCTTTAAGATCAAGAAATAGCAGCCATTTTAGAGGATAATTACATCTGTCCATACATAGTGAACCCTCTATGGAGATTGACAAAAATAAAAAAGGGGGGGGGGGGAGTGGACGGCAATTCTTGGGACAATTAATGTCCCTCTGTTAAAAAACGTAATAAAGATAAAATAATAGTGAAAGTTCCCTCAAGAAGTATATATACAGATGACTAAGATAAATAAATGGGCTATTTTTAGGTGCACCAGAATTATATGTAGAGAGACTTCTAAATAAATGAAGAGTATGAGAAACCCTCATTAAGACCTTTGGGGGACAGAGTTTTAAGGCGGTAGATCCAATAGCATTCACGTCTCCTCAGACGTTGATCCCAACTGCCCCTCCTCTGGTCCTGTTTAATTAATTCGATGCCTTGAAATTTGAGGGCATTAGAGTCCCCATTGTGAGCTATTTTCACATGTCTAGAGACCGATGTTTCTATGTTCCTGACTGTTTTTATTGAATTTATATGTTCAAGAATTCGTTTCTTAAACGGTCTGAAGGTTTTGCCTACATACATGATGTTACATTGGCAAGTGATTAAATAAATCACTCCCTTTGAGTTACAATTAAAAAATGAGAGTGATTTAAAATTTTCTGTATTGGAGCTATTGTTGAAATTTTTGGAGTTGGTATTAATGTACCTACAGGCTTTACACCTGCCACATTTATAGGTACCTTTTTTTTTCTTTAAATTCTTTATTTTGTTCGTGCAGATATTTTACATGTAGATTAGCACTGCCACATCAGCTGGTGCAAACCGGTTTGAATTCACATGGTAACAGTAGTATGGCATCAAAAACATTGCACTTTTTTTTTTATACAGGGAAATTCACAAGATTATTTTGTACGCTTTAAGATTAACTTTTGATACGTCATACGTTTGTTGCATTTTAAAGAAAAAAAGGGAAAATAAAACGAGCAAAGATTACTATTTTGGGAAGCTGTCAGCTTATGTTTAGTCAGGAGAAACAGATACACCCATTAGCTTAAGTAGTAAGGACATGGAGATTGATTGTAATAAACCCCTGATTGTTAGACTTAACTCGTCATTTGTAGTGTTGTGTGGTAATGAGGAGCCTTTGGTTCTATACAGTGGGTGCAAAGGGACATCCCTTTCGAGATGTATGATGTAATTAAGGTTTCATCAGTATGACTTTTCTGGGCGCATGTTAAGTACAAGTTAGAGATTGGGGAAACCGGGTGTGACAAGTGACAGGTTATGTATGCTATAATAATGATACCCTGCAGGTACATGCCTGTTATAGGGTAGAGCAACCAAGCGGTCGCTGACAGGCAATAATACTTGACCTCATATAGCTATAAGCCCATGGGTGTAGGAGTATTACTTAGCCCATCAGAAACATATAAGCATGCTATACCGTACTCAATGTGGAGAAAAATAAAAGACAAAGTAAATTAATATAAGGGAGCATTCTAATAGGTTGCACTGAAGCTAAAATGTGCCACTGGAGTCTCTCAAGGCCACGCAGCCCCCCAGGCGCCATTCTCTGTGTGCCGCAGATGACATATAGACAGTCCTGCTGGATCTTACGGACTCATTCCTGCCTCTTCTCGTGTCCGACCTGCAAACCCTGTGAAAAGTTGGGTTGTTGCCAGTCCCGTGCTCCATGTGCGCCTGTCACCTGTGCCTCCGGTTCCCCTGCCATGGATGGTCAATATCGGGATTCCCAGGTGAGATGTCATCGGGCTGTGGTTCGGGGGTTGTCGTCAGGGTGCTCTAGGCCCAACTTGGCAGCTGCTAGGACCGGACTTTGATATGAGGGCTGGTCAGATGAGGCAGCTCCGCTGCTTAGCAGGTTGTAGTAGCAACAATAGCCCAGGATTAAGAGTTGGGGCGGCATGGTCCAGGAAGCCATATGAGTGCTGGTAACGCTGTCGGGCCCAGCGTGTGCCATGCGGCCGCCATCTTGTTGGTCGGGCGCTGAGGTTCGTTGGCTGAGAATCTCTGCACAGATGGCCCACTCAGTGTCGGCTGCCTCCAGTGGGGACCGGGATAACCCCCGCCAGTCCATGGGGGGGGGACCAGGGCCTGTGAGGGGTATCACATAGCCGTTGGGTGATTGTCAGGCATGCAAACAGGGCAGCGGCCGTCTGCCCCGCTCCTCTCCCGAGTAGGCCGCCTTCTCCAAAGCTTTGTACCACCCAAAGGGCCCTCAAAACTCCCGATCTTGGAGTCCACGGTGTCACCAACAGCTACTTGCACCCTTGGGTACATTACACAGCTTAAGTATTCGCAGTGAGTCTATAAATTTTGCTTAAAAAGCCAAGCTCAGCAGGAGCCTCTGCAGCATGCGACCGGTCAGCATGGCTGCCAGGCCCCGCCCCCTATAGGTACCTTTAATTTTATCTGACAGCCAATGTGTGGGTGATTTATTAGGCTGAAAGTGGCTATGTACCAATAAATCTTTCAGGTTGTTACCCCTTCTAGCTGTCAGAGTTGCATAGGAAGGGAGGACGTCCCTAAGATACGTGTCTTGTTTTAGTAAAGGCCAGAAGCGATTCATGATTGTTTTCACTTGATCCCAGCCGGCGTCAAAGGTAGCAATACACCTAAGTTGTTTTTGTTCGACTTTCAATGGTGTTAAAGAGGAAACTTATTTTTCTCTTAATAAATCTTCCTGTTCAGTTAAGAGAGCCCTATGATATGCCTTCTTCAGGCATTTATTGGGGTATCCTTTGGACCTAAACATATGACGCAGTTCTCTTGCTTGTGTTTTAAAATCTTCCAAGTCAGAGCAATTGCGTCTTAAACGTAGGTACTGGCCCGTTGGTATTCCCCGTTTCTGCTGAGTTGGATGATGACTTTTCCAATTCAGAAGGTTGTTAGTGGCTGTACTTTTCCTGAACAGGTTTGTTTTAATGATGCCTTGTTCTTGTGGAGATACCATGAGATCAAGAAAGCTTAGAGATGGAGTGCCAATTTCAGCTGTGAATTTAAGATTCAATTCATTTATGTTCAGATCAAGTGTGAATTGTCTGAACTGATCCTCTGACCCAGTCCAGATGATTATAATGTCATCTATGTATCTTTTCCATAGATATATGTACTGGGTCAGTGGATTTTTAGGGGGAGATGTAAATACTACTTGCTCCTCTCACCATCCCAGGTGCAGGTTTGCATATGAGGGTGCACAAGATGTCCCCATAGCAGTCCCCTGCACCTGGTGGTAGTACACTCCATCGAAATGTTAAATCTATGATTAGGAAAAAATTGGTCAGAATGGGTGGTACCAGCTCCACCCAATATGGGCATAAACCCTTTATTTGTAAAAGATAGAAAACACACAAAGAATGCTCGGATTGTTCCTCTTTAAAAGGAGGGAGGAAACTACCAAGCCAGCTGGTAAAAGTATAAATTATAGGTACACATTGATATTATGCCTAATAAATCTTAGAATCTAGAGCCCAAAAGGCAGGAAAAAATGGGGAGTAGGAACAATTTGCAGAGCAAAGCTAAATATAGTTGATACAGTACGTAAAAAGTATCTCTAGATCCACTGAGAAAAGTAACAACTTTATTAACCTATTTAAGAGGAAGAGATACAAAAACAACTGTGTGTCACAATACAGGTTTATCCGGAAATCCTGGGTAGAATACATATTTAGTAGAAGACTTCGTCCTGCGAGTAATACTGAAAGACATTCCCTCTGAAAGGAAAACCGGAACATCCCAGTCCAATGCTCTTACATCCGACACCCGTTTGCATGATATCAGGCAGGGTAGCATGAGTAGCTTCCAGGAGAGTTGTTTAAGGGATAACGTGTCATCTGGAAACCAAGATTCCAACAAACGTAACACCACTTTGACATCCCAGAATGAGGTATATCTTGCCCGAGGGGATCTCAACAACTTTATTCCTTTTTGTAGTCTACAGACTAGTGGGTGTCTCCCGACAGGGGATCCATCGAGACCACAATGTATCGCGGATCGTAACAAGTTGACTGTCTTGTAGGCCTTTCCAGCATCGAAGATGGAAGTCAGGAAATGAAGGACCATATTCAGAGGGGCAGTAGCTGGATCCAGAGCTTGTTCCCCACACCAGCCAGCCCAAGATCGCTATGCAGTCCGGTATGCCGACCTTGTGCCTGAGGCCCACGCGTTCGAGAAGAGTCAGAGAGTAGATTGTGGAATACCAGGGTTATCAAGGTACTCTTGAAACTAACCAAGCCACCAGTTGAAGATGACCCTGCTCTACCAGATCGTGTGCCTTCCCATCTGGGTCTGTCAGGAGCCAAGGTATCGTTGGGATTAGGCATGGGAAATCCAGAGACATCTCCAGAAGGCGCAAGAACCATGGTTGAGTTTTCCACAATGGTGTGATGATCACCAGAGAGCACCTGTGTCTGCATAGGTATGTCAGGGTCCGAAGAATCAGGTTGAATGGTGGAAGTGAGTAAAGCCACTTGGCCGGCCAACTCTGTGGAAATGCATCCACCACTAGTGTGTTCGGGTCCGACCTCCAGCTGTAGTAACGAGGAAGCTGGGAGTTCAGTCTGGAGGCAAACAGGTCAATATCCAGTGGGCCCCACAGTCGCTAGATTGTCTGAAAGACTGAAGTGTGTAGATGCCAGTCTCCTGCATCCCGAAGGTATCTCGAGTTCCAGTCCACCCATGAATGATCTAATCCTGGAATATGTTCCGCTATGACTGACAGATTGTTCAGTAGGCAAAACTGCCAGAACTCTTTCGCCAATAGTTTCGACTTCATGCCCCCTAGGCGATTGATATAGCTCACAGCTGATGCGTTATCCGTCTTGAGCAGTATGCAGCATTTTGCCTGGTTGGGCGCCAGGCTGCGGTTGGAAAAGGACCCTGCTAGCAGTTCGAGTCTGTTGATGTGCAGCAACAATTCCTCCGTTGACCATCTGCCTCTGGTAGAGATATTGCCGCAGCGCGCACCCCAGCCGTGTAAGCTGCCATCCGACTTGATAACCATGTCTGGTGTAGTCCCGAAGATTGCCCGTCTCAGGGAAGAACCTTTGATCCTCTCGAGTGTCGGTAGTGAAGTGGCCCATGTAATATTGCCTGGATGGAAGAGGCGAGTAGCCCTATCATCTTCGCTAGTTGTCGTACTGACAAGTCCCGAGCTCGAATGGTACGTTTGATCTCTTTCCTCATGGTTTTGAGCTTGGTGTCCAGCAGATAGAGGAACTGGGCGACAGAATCCACGTAAAATCCCAGAAACTCTATCGTCTGAGTTGGGTGTAGAATAGATTTTTCCCAATTGATGAGAAAACCCAGGTCATGTAAAAGCCGTAACATCCATCGCAGGTGTGTATAGAGATGTTCTGGTGCGTGCGACATTATGAGGATGTCGTCTAGATAAATGATCAGGCGTACTCCTCGCTCTCGTAGGGGTGCCACCACTGGTTTAATCAATTTGGTGAAGCACCAATGAACAGAAGAAAGTCCGAATGGAAGACAGGTGAACCTCCATCTCCTTCCAGCCATGTGAAGTGGAGAAGGTCACTGTGCTCCACTGCGACGGGTACCGTCAGGTAAGCATCCTTCAAGTCCAATTTGGCCATCCAATCCGAGGGCAGATGCCCTCTATTTTGAAATGCTGGTGCATGATGAACGTATTCAGGGTCTGTAATTTGATAACTGGTCGGATGCCTACGCCTTTCTTGGGAACCAAAAACAGATTGCTTGTAAATCCTTGAAAGTGGTATGGAACTTCTTGGATCACATTTTTTGCGAACAATTCTGCCGCCTCAGAAGAAACTCCTTGGGCAGCCAGGCTTTGGAAGGCTGGTGAACCTGAAATAGGGAAGAAAGCAGGTCGAGATGCAAGCCCCTGACCGTCTGCCGTACTCAAGCATCTGAAGACCGCAAGTCCCAAGTTTAAGTAAACAGAGCTAATCTGCCCCCGACCCCTGTGGGGAAAGAATGGGGAAGTATGGTACTCACCGTATGGTCTGCGACTTGAGTTATATCTTCGGGGACCACAGGACAGCCAGGATCTTCCGCGTGATGGGAAGACTTGTGGTTAGAGTTGAGCGAACCCGAAATATAAAGTTCGGTTTTTGGACCCCGGACCCGAACACGGACATATCACTGTATGTTCGGGTTGGAGTTCGGTGTTCGGCAATTTAATGGCGCGAT